CTTTCCCTCTTCCATTGTAGTGTTTGTTACACCCATTTGAAATCTCTCCCCAGCCTCAGCACTTCTTCCTTTGGCGAGATGGGCCTGGGGTTAATCAAGCCCTATCTGCCGTATTTGGCAGGCTTTGTCTTCCCTCTTCTGTGTTTCTTCAGCCCTATTTTCTGGTTAGGTCTAAGCCAGTGGTTTCCAACATTTTTAAGCACAAGATCACTTTTTGAATTTGTCAGTCCAAAATCTCAAATCCAAATATACCTGCCCCACCCCTTCACCGAGGCCCCGCCCTTCTCACTCTGTGAAGATGGGGTACAGGGAAGGGTGACAGAGTGACATCAACATCCCCTTACCCCTGTCTTCCCCACTCTGTACAACAAGCAGGAGGCTCTCAGGGGACAGCTTTGAGGCTCTGGACAGGAGCAGCAGGGGGAGTGGCAGGGGGAGGGGCGAGAATCACCTGTCTGGGGCTCCGAGATCTACTGGTAGATCCTAATCTACTGGCTGATGATCACTGGTCTAAGAGATGATTCTCCAACAAATAGAAAGGCCTGTTCCACTAGACACAAAGGGAAATACCTTCCCCTGCCTCCTCACTGGAGCAGAGTATCCTCCTGTCCTTCCCTGACAGGTGTGTTGCTGTCCCCTGCGGGAAGGAGCACTTTTCTCCTCTTGGAGATGCTCATTTCCCTGCTGCCACCAGCCTAGTAACAGCTTGCTTGCTTGTTTGTTATTTTGTTTTTCTGTCTGTCTCTGTGTCTGTCTGTCTCTCTCCTCCTTTCACTCAACAAGGGAGGGGCTTTAAAAAGTCTCAAGCAGCCCTTCCTTGGATTCAGGTGTTCTTAATTGACCTGAGGCAACCTCTTCTCAGTGGATATGAAAGAGCCTTTAGCATCCTAGACTTTACACATCTGCCTTCCAGCTGCTTCTGGCTTTCTGCTCATTGTGCCCTTTAGGTTCTCACTTTCTGACCCTTTGACCTTTGCTCCTTGTTTTGGTTGCTCCATAATCATCTGAATTCCCGGGCTCAGTGGATCCTCCCCAAAGGCTGATGGGAGGGTCCTTTAGCCGTGAGCAGGAACACCCTTTTGCAGCTGGCCAGCATGACTTTGTCATAGTACTTAATGTGAGTTCTGGTCAGAAGTGTGATGAAAATGGCACGCCCTATTTACGGGTTTGTTTATACTTTAAAAGCTACAGCAGCACTTCCGTGTGGACACTGGCTATAGCCATAGGAAAGGTTCCTCGGCTGTTGAAGGTAATCTGCGTCCCTGAAAAGCAGTAGTTAGGTTGAAGAAAGAATTCCTCCAGCCACTGCCTACAGTGGGGGTTAGGTCAGCCTAATTGCCTGTCTTGGGGAATGTTAAAAATCCACAGCCCTCAGAGATATAGCAGTGCAGGTGCACGTTTTCATTGTACACCAGTCCTAAGAGCTGCTCATTGCTGTGGCCTGTCTCAGGGAGTACAAGGACCAGAAATGTTACTAGGCCCTGTGCAAAAGAGAAGGGAGATCTTACATCACTTCTTCCTTTCCTTCACTCTCTCAGAGGTAGTCACAATTTCACCCCAACTTATTGCACTGCTACCTAAGGTTACCGTCAAGGCTTTTCTTACTGCTTTAAAAAATAGTGTGTCTCACCCCTTTGATGCAAAATAATTTTAAACTTGTTCTCCAGCAAAAAATTTATAAAATTAGTGGTATTGGCAAAAAACAGATTCATGGAAAGAGATGATAGCTGCCACTTTTGTTTTTCCATTTTTGTAGGCACTTCTAGTTCATCAACAGACGAAGACATGGAAACAGATGTAGTCAATGAAACAGATGTAGTCAATGAAATCTTAGAAGATATTCCAGAACATGAAGAAGATTATTTAGATTTAACCCTGGAAGAGGAAGAAAAGGTCATTAAAGAATACTTATCCTGTATGCATGAGGAGCAATCCTAAAATTTCATTATCCACTGTTCAGTAACAAGGAATTACTTTTGGCTACATATCACGTCTAAATCCAAACTCAAGCTTATCTTTAGCCAAATGCCTTACATTCAGTTAAAGTGAATTATTTAATTATCAATTATAACTGCTTAAAATCTCCTCTGTGGTTAACTATGTCATAATTCAGCATAATAATAAAGCAGAAACAAATATTTTTTTCTGAAAAACACTGTTTGGTAGAGAGGTTGAATATATATTTCTATGGGTGTGAAATTAGCCCATTTAATTAATATAGCAAATAAAAGCATTTTACAACATTTTGCATCATCTGTTTTAAAACAAAATCTACATTTGTAATCAGAAACCTAGTTAATACATTTATAAAGCTGTCAGTTTACAAAACCAACCTCCTTCTCTTTTGAAGTACTGTTTTCCAAAAATCATTTACAGATGAGATCTCAATTAAATGATGATGCTTTTTCTTGTCTCTGTTCATGTCAGATGTTGCAAGAGCTACTAATAAAAATAAAACATACTGCGCATCTTGCTTTTATTGGGATTTTTCCATACTTTACATAGAAAAGTACTCTCTAAAAAAAATAGGCAGTTGTAAGCCATTGGAAGATCAGGCCCCCATCCTCACCTCATAGTGATGGGGCTGATTTAAACACATATCTGTAAAAATTGGTGGGCATAATGCAGGGGCACATTTGCAATTCATAATCACACAGCTAGGAACAAAACCACCCTTGAAAGCCAAGTGTGAGCCCTGGACCATAGATTTGACACACTTGTGTGTGTCTCACTTTTGTTTCTCCTCATGTTTAAATTATTAGCAGCTCAGTGTTTTTAGATAAAGACAGAAATTGGGCCATGCTCATCTCAACTGTCACTTTGTTGCCTTCAGAAATTTAGACCAGTGTTCCTTCCTAGTGCTCTTTATCTTCCTTTTGACTATGACACTTAGCTCCTTCTAGTGCTCTTTATCTTCCTTTTGACTATGACACTTAGCCCTCCTCTTTTGGCCCCCCTCCCATTTTGAGATCTGGGGTGGTGCTGTACCATGTTAGTCCCATGAAATTTGAGAGATAACGTGGTTGAGGTAATATCTTCTTCTGTTGAGGAGAGGGACAAGCTTTGGGGCATACACAGCCATTTTCTCCAGGTCTGGCACACTGAAGAAAAGCTCTGTGCAAACTCAAAAGCTTTTCTCACCAACAGAAATTGTCCAGTAAAAGCTATTACCTCACCTACCTTGTACGTCCACCAAGCCCCCTCCTCCTGAACTTGCTACCCCCTATATCTGGACCTTCCCACACCTGCACCAGACACCTTCCAACATGCAAATCCCTCACCCTCACCAGCCCCGACCCCATGAGCCATGTCAGCGACACCCAGACCTCCACCGCACCAAGCCTCACTCCCTCAACAGCTGGAGTCCCTCTGCTAAGCCCCAGTCCCTCCCACAGCCAGACAGTATCCCTCCTGAGTCCCAATCACCTTCACCTGGACACTCTCTCACTCACCCTGCACCCAGACCCCCTCATGGATCCAGATCCACCCCACTGAGCTGCCCACATCCAGCTGGCCCCATACAGCACCCTCCCACCCCCACACCTCGATTCCCCCATACTAAGCCCTTCCACGCTTGGCTCCTGCAAAGAAGAGCTGCTTGCCCTACATCTGGCTCAGTGGCCAGGACTGGACATGCAAGTGAGACCATTTGTCTCACATACTGTGGGTGCACCTGACATGATGGGCAGGGCTCTGGGGGTGTTTGTGGAGCAAGAACAGCCCTCGTGCTGGATGGGAAGGGGGTGTAGGGAGATCTCCTACCTCTGTGAAGCCAGGGCTCTGTGTTTCGCCCTGTTGTGGGCACCTCCACATTTATGTCTTGCGAAAATATGCAGCATTTTAAGATCTTGCGCACAGAACTTTTAGGTGTAGAATTCCTTTAGGAGTATTAGGTGCTTGGTTGGGTCTTGTTCAGGGTTTAACTGATTGTCCTATAGGGGCGTGGGACAGGAATTTTCCTCCAGCTCAGGATGGCAGTGACTGGGAGTTTGCTTTCCACTGCAGTATATGGGAACCCAGAATTATCTGGGTATATCTCAGTCATTTCTCAGGCACTAGTGCACCACCATCCCTCCTACTTGCCCTGCAGCCCATTAGTCTCCCTTGGGGTGTAATACTTCACCCTGATGCCAGGTGATGGGTTTACAAGGTGGATGCTGGATGGTGCTGTGGGCGTGTGATATACAGGAGGTCAGACTAAGTGATCCAGGGTCCCTTGTGGCCTTGAAACCTGAATATAGCTGTGTTGGGCCAAACCTTAGGCACATCATATATGAGACCTAGATTTTTTTTCCCACTCTATGGCAGCTCATTTAAATGCATCTATGACAACCCTTACCTTCATGAGCACATGGTGAGTCAGCAGGCTTTGACCCAAGGCCTGGTTTCCAGTAGTCACCTCTACTGCTTGCACTAAGAGAATGACCAATAGCCACGTAGGCTGTTATCCTTGTGGACTAGACACTACATGGGGGGGTGCAGGGTGGCAAAGGCTTTGCCCTGGTTTAGGAAGTATTCAAATTGTAGGAGAGGCCATCAAGTCCAGTCCTCTGCCTTCACAACAGGACCAAACACCATCTGGATCATCCCTATCATCTAGCCAACCTGTTCTTAAATATCACCAGTGATGGAGATTCCACAACCTCCCTAGGCAATTTATTCCAGTGTTTAACCACCCGGACAGGAAGTTTTTCCTAACAGCCAGCCTAAACCTCCCTTGCTGCAATTTAAGCCCATTGCTGCTTGTCCTACGCTCAGAGGCCAAGGTGAACAATTTTTCTCCCTCTTCCTTATAACACCCTTTAGATCAGCAGTGGCCAACCCGTGGCTCTGGACGGAATCCGGAAACACTCAGGTCAGCCACTTTCATGGCCTGTGCCGTTCCACTCATGGCCCCGGCGCACTGTGTCATATCCTGCGTGTGCAGGCCGGGTCGCACACAGCATCCCAACCTGCATGTGCGAGCAGCTGGCTGCTGAGCGCAGGCAGCGGCAGTGCAAGGGCTCTGCGTGCAGCGGCTCCAGGACCTGGGCATAAGGTTAATAGAGGAGGGAAGTGTCTGGCTCTAGGAAGGGGAGGGGAGGG